GGAGGGCGGGGGGAAGGGGACCCCACCCCAGTCTTTTAATAAAAGTGCTCGCGACCAGACCCCGAAGGCTCTCTGTCGTTCAGGGTCGCTTTCCGTGTAGCATTCAGTCGAGTGGGCTTCCTGGGGGGGGGGGGCCGGCCGAGGAAGGAAAGTCGCCCCCCCCCCGCCCCGCCTCCTCCAGCAGGGCCGCCATCCGGCCTTAGGTCCGTCCTCTCCCAGCCCAGGGCGCCGTCTCCCCGAGGCTCACCCCATGGCTCCTCCTGCGGTCAGCGCCCTATTCCTGTTCCCAGGCCTTTACACCAGACATCAGGGACCCTTTCTCGTCAGCACTGGGCCCCCGGTGTCTAGAAATGTAGGTTTTCAAGGCACCCTGCCTCCGATGGGGGGGGCGTGTCGAACGTGGTAGGCGCTTTCAGAAGTCGGGGTGCCTTGAGGGACGACTGGGGAGGACCTGCAGGCCGCCAATAACGTCCCTCAAGAGTGACTTTTAGTCCCGTCTCGGGAGGAGCTTTGCAAGCAGGTGACGATGTGTGCAAAGGCCCCGAAGTGGGCAGGAGTCCCCACAATGTGTCAGAAAGGTGGGGAGGTGATGGAGGCCTTGGGCACCGTGGAGGAGGGCAGGGCCAGGGCCTCGGCCCTTGAAGGGGGAACGGGGCGGGGGTGCCTTGGGTTTGAGAGGCCCCACCGCAGGCAGTTGGGGTGGATGCAGGAAGCTAGGGGCGCGCTTGGAGGCCCTGTGGAGGGGGCAGCTTTCGAAGGCCAGGGCCCGGTTCCGCGCGGCCCCCACCTTCCAGTAGGCAGACCCTTCACGGTGGCCCCGGCCTGGACCGGGCAGCGCCAGGAAAATGGGGTTGTGCAGAGGTGGCAGCAGGTGGGCACAGGTGGCATCACCTGGTGCCTGCTCCCCACCCCCCCCAACTGGAGCTCAGGGCACGGGGTATGAGGCACACACTTCATTAACCCTTTATTACAAGTCACGCTCTTATAGAAGTATATGTGGACTTAAGTGAAAAAAATCAAATGTATCCAAGAATAAAAAACACAGCACGTAAGTAGTATATGCATTCCAGTGTTCGCGCCGGAGAGCACAGGCGCCCAGGAAAAGCTCTTCTAAAACGGCCTGGCTCCAGCCCACCTGCCAGCTGCGAACAGTTCAGGGCGGCACAGGCCGGCCTCAGGCACAGTGTGGGGACCACCACCTCCTCCCGCGGCCGGGCGGGTGGGCAGCACCAGCTCCTGGGGCCTCCCGGCCAGCGGCAACCCCAGGCTGCTGAGAGGTGCCAGGAACAACCCCTCAGGCTGGGTGGGCCACATCTGGCCCTGCGGGGGCAGCAGCGAAGACGTCCCTGGTCTCCTGGGCTTCAGGGCCAGTCCTCAGAAGTCCTCCGTCAGTCCGCCTTCTTCAGGAAGATCTGGAAGAGCCGGCCCGGGGTCAGCAGGGGCCACAGAGCTGGCCCCAGGTAGCCACTCGGAACAGCTCCGTGCTCCCTGCGCCCTGCCGTGTCCTGCCTCACCTCGCTCAGAATGACCCACACGGGCGAGTCTGTCTGGATGGAGAGGCGCAGTGCTTCCAGGGGACCGAAGGCAGGGTCCACCTCGCCCTCAGCCACGCCTTTGTAGAAGGAGCCTGGGGACGGCAGTGCTGAGAACTCGTCCCAAGACCCCTGCTCAGCCCAGCCTCCCCCCCACCTCTGCCCGCCGGACCCCACTCACCTATCTGGAGGTAGCCGTCGGGGCTCCGCGGGTACCGGAGGGTGGTTGAGCGGCCCTCCTGCAGGGCCTCCTTGTCTGACTGGGGGTTCTGGGGGCGAAATCAAGGGGCTGAAGCCAGGGCTGTGGGAGAGGTGGCCTCAGTGCACACCCACACGCTACCACACTCACATCGAAGGGCAGCACCTCCACAGAAGTGTTGAAGAGCTTGTCCTCTGGGTGCTCAATGTTCCCGCTGCGGAAGAAGAACCTGCAGCCAGGCAGGCCTATGAGCTGCTGCAGGGTGGGAGCTGCCCAGGCACACTGCCCAGCAGAGAAAAGGCCAGGCTTGGGCCCCGGGTGCTGGGCGACGCTGGGCACCACCAGGGGCAGCCATTGGCTGTGCAAGAGAGCCAGGCTGACTCCTTGGAGGATGGTGATGGGCAGCGTCACTGAGCTCCCCTGGGCCCCGCCTGACAGTCTTTACAAGGTAGCTACCATTATGCACCCCACTCTTCAGATAAGCAAACTGAGGCACGGCAGGGTGGAGTCATTTGCTGGGGTCACAGAAGTGTGTGGTGAGGCCTGTACCCTGGTAGCCACCCTGCCCCTCCCCCTGTGGGGACCTGTGGGTGCTGTCACTGACCGCTCAAGGCGCAGTGGCTGGAAGAAGCGGAAGCGGATAAAGTCCCCTGCAGCAGGCGTGAAGGCCCAGAAGAAATCCTCCCGAAGGTAGGCCTTCTCCAGGGTGAAGTGCTGGTATGTTTTGAGGCTCGTGCTCACTTCGGCCGGCGGGTTCATGTGCTCCTTCCGTAGCGCCTGCTTCCCAAAGTCCTTGTCCTGGTTCCGGGAGACAGTGCTGCCGAGTGTGCCCTGGACGGGCCCTGCTGCCCCTTGCCCACCCCACCCAGGCAGAGCCGGGCTCCCACCTTCAGTTTCTGAATCTTGCCCGCCAGTGAGGAGTGCGTGCCCACGTGCTGGAAGAGGGACGGCTTGAAGCGGATGCGGAGGTTGGCCTTCTGCCGGTCACAGTGCTTCTGTGGGGGGAGGGCAACGTCTAAGTGTGAGCCCCCCCACCCCCCGCCCCCAGCAGCACCATGTCCTGAGTCAGGCGCACACCCGCAGACAGTCCACGCTGGAGGTTGCGAGCGGCACCGCCCGGCCTGCCGCTCTGCAGCCCCTGCTCACCGCGTCCTTCTCAGGGTTGCAGACCTTCACCCACAGAATGTGGTCCAGGAGCCAGTCGATGGGCTTGTCCCGGTAGAACATGAGGATGAACTCCACAATCAGGCTCAAGTCCAGGGACTTGAACATCTTCCCTGGTGGGGAAGGGGGTACGGGCGCTGAGTGGGCAGCTCTGCCCTGCCCTGCTTCCTCTCCATCCCCGTGGGAACCACTAGGGAGGGCCCCACAGCAAACCCTGTGCCCAGCTGCAGGCAGGTGTGGGCACCCAGGGCCAGACACTGATGGTGACGCTGAGGGCAGGTGGGAAGAGGCCAGAGGTGGCTCCAGTGGCCTGGAGCGGTGTTGCAGGGTGTGGGGTATGGGGCAGGGTGGGGGGTGGGAGGGTTATGATGCGGGGGAGGGGGGCGGGAGAGACTGAGGGGCTCTGTTCAGGTCAGTGGGATGAAGGGTGGGGGACCCACCAATGAAGCCCAGCTGGGAGAACTCCAGGATCATCCAGTCCTCTGAAGGCTGCTGCAGAGCGAAGTTCTTCATGGTGCTCAGGTAATTGGGCTTGGCCACTATGTCGTCCTCCAGCTGCACCGTGAGGGGCAGAAGGGCCTGGGACTCAGGATGGGCACAGGGCAGGGCGGCATGCATCTCCCAGGCCCCGCCAGGGTCTGGGGAGGGGCGCAGAGCAGGGCCGGTGCTGACCTGTACGTAGTAGATGCCTTTGGACTGCGCGTACATCATGAGGAAGCAGTAATCGAGGTTCTGTTTGGTCCTCCACCTGTGGCCGGGGGCAGGGCCTCGGAGCTCAGACCCTCCTCCTCTGGTACGGCTGCCCCGGCACACTTGGCGCGTAGACCCCCACCCCATGCAGGGTCCTCCAGTGGAGAAGTGGAGGCACTACAGCCAACGGCCTGGCCCTCAGCACAGGGGAGAGAGGTTGCTGGGGGACCTGGAGAGGGGCAGTGCTAGTACCTGACTCTCTCCTTGGGGTCCCCAAAGGACTCTCGGAGCCGGGAGAAGTCGGGGTAGAAGTGCGGGGAGGGGGCGATGACCTCCAGGAGCCCGGAATGGATCTCTGTGGGGAACCTGGAGGACAGGAAGCCCAGTGGGTGTGCGGCCTCCAGGGCCCGGAGCAGGGGCCGAGCTGAGCAGCCAGACCCTGTCCCTTCTGAAGGCCCACAGGCAGCCATCACTGAGGCCATGGGGCTTGGAGGGGTTGGGCCACCTCTACACACCCACTGCCTCCAGCCCACAGGGCAGCACCTCCTCAGGTCACTGTCGTGTGGGGGAGGCAGGATCTGCCTCCCAATCCGCCACCAAGGGCCTCCTCCCACCAGCTTCCTCGGCGGCCAGTACTCACAAGGCCTTTATGTTGTCTGTCACCAGCGAGGTGTACTGCGGGTCAGTCTGTGGGGAGACCAAGCAACCACCCTAAGCAGGACTGGAATGGCCTGGAAGAAGGGCCAGGGGTAGGGGCGCGGGCCTCACACGGAGGGAGTGAACCCCGATCCTGAGGGCCGAGTGAGGCTGGGCCACAGGGGCCTCAGAAAAAGCCCTTTGGGTAGGTACCTGGGGTGGGGCAAGTAGGTAAACGGCATCTCCACGAGGGGGCGCTAAAATCTCAACTTTTTATCTTGATAAATTTGTGAATGACAGGGACCTTCTGGTAGCGCTCCCCTCGGGATGCTGCCCTGTTTGCATTTCTCCTTCAGTCATTGGGTGCCAGGTGTCCCCTGGGAGTGGGTCCCGGCCCCGGCCCCGCCCACTCGCCTCGGCAATGAGCACCACGATGACCGAGTCCTCCTTCTCCTGCGGGCTCAGCTCCGAGATGAGCGAGTGCAGCGTGTCCGTCAGATAGGAGTGCACCTCGCGCCGCACACTGGGGATGCCCATCACCACGGACACTGCGGGGAGCAGGGGTCCTCAGGCCTGGCCACCGGGCCGCCCACCCCTGCGAATGGCCCTCCGGCCCCGCCCCTACCTCCCGTGCGGCCCTGGCCCACGCGCACTGCGGGCTGCAGGCTGCTCTCCTGGGCCAGCAGGTGCGGCAGGTGGTGGAAGACGGTGGGCAAGTGCAGCACGTGCTTATGCGAGACGTTCCACGGCTTCAGTCGTGGGTCCTCTGGGAGGGTCAGGAAGGACGGTCAGACGGTCAGACCGCGGGCCTGCCCGCAGCCCCGCCTGCCCTGCCGCCCGCTCCCCCGCCCGCTCGGCCTCTCACCGGTGAGCCTGCCCCAGGTGCGATTGCCGTCGCGGTCTCGCAGCGCCTGCCTCTCCGACACGGCCCTCTTGATCTCGTCCAGCACCAGGTTGAGCTCCTTGGAGCGCTTGAGGCTCTCCTGCTCCGCTGCGTGCAGCCGGTCGCGCAGCGCCAGGAACTCCCGCTGGTACACGTCCACCACATCACCTGTGGGTGGTCCGCAAGCGGTCACCAGGGGCGGCCTAGAGCTGACCTACACGTTGGAGGGTGCCAGCGCATACACCTGCGTGCCCATCTGTGCCACAGGCCATCGACTTCTGTTGTCGTGTCTGCCACATGGGAGTTTTCGGGGGCTGCACAGGGTCACTTTCAGGTCACACTGACACACCTGGGGGAGAAGCCTCCACTGGGGAGCAGCACTGTCCAGTACTCTCTCCTGCCCCCAGGCATTTTCTCCTTTGAGGGGGTATCTGAAGTGGGAGGGCTGCAGGATCACTTACAGTCCCGCGTGGGGCAATCCTTTTCCACCCTCTGGCTTCTTGCCGCATCTACTCCTGCCAGCGGGTGGGACACCCAAAGGTCCCATCCAGGGCACAAAGACCCAGCCCTTCCTCAAGGGGTTTCTTAGCACGAGCCACACCTGGATTCCCTCAGTCTCACACCAGCCCCAGGTCTGGCTGCTGCTGCTCCAGCCCCCAGCGCTCCAAGGAGCAAATGATGTTGAGAAACTAGTCCAGGGTCATTCAGTGAGTCAGCAGCAGAGAGGGGCCATTTCTGATGCGCTGAGGCCTGCTTCTTGGGAGACCCGTGTCAGAGCCTCCAGCAAGACCCATTTCGGATGTTGGGGTGCAGGGTGAGAAGCACAGAGGTGGGGCTGCCTGACAGTACAGAGGAATCCCTAGGGTGCCCCTACCTGGCTCCACTGGTTGGGCAGGGACCAGTGAGCAAGTATGAGACAAACAACATTCCTACCTGTGGCTGGCACAGCAGGTCCTGGAGGGCTGTGCACACCAGGCTTTCTGGTCTCACCAGTGCCACCTTCATTTGCTATCACCCACAACTCCTTGTCCTTGCCTAAGGGCCATGCTCCACACACATGCTGTCCTCTCTTCTGCCTGGAACCCCTTTCCTCCTCTGGACCAAATGAACACCGTGTGGCCTTCAAGGCCTGGTTTCAAAGTCTCCAAGTGCAGGAATCCTCTCCCACCCCCCGGCAGCTCTTCTACCCCTCGATCCCTGGTGGTGTCACTCCCCACAGCTGTGTGCACCAGAGGTCACAGCCAAGGCAAAGTTCAGTCACCTCATGCCCTAGATGGTTTGGCTCAGCGGATAGAACGTCGGCCTGTGGACTGAAGGGTCCCAGGTTCAATTCTGGTCAAGGGCACATGCCCGGGTTTCGGGCTCGATCCCCAGTAGGGGACCTGCAGGCGGCAGCTGATCAATGATTCTCTCTCATCATTGATGTTTCCATCTCTCTCTCCCTCTCCCTTCCTCTCTGAAATCAACAAAAATATATTTTTACAAATTTCAGTCATCTCAGGACACTACTACCTCTGGAGCACTCCATCCCCAGCTGGCCCCAACCTCCACCCCCTTGGGGTGGGGAGGGCCGAGGTTGTATCAGGTTACAGGTTCTGCACTGGGTTCCAAGGCCGGGTTACCCTGGAAATCTGAACCCTTGAACAGGAGCTGCCGGCCCAGCAGGAGGCAGTTCAGAGTCACCTGGACATAGCAGGTGGCCTTCCTCCTGCTGAGTCCCTGCCTACCTACCTGTTGGCCCCTGCTGCCCACCCCCGTGCAGTGGGGCCCTTTGTGAAGTAGGGGGATGTGAGGAGGCCTCACCCCCTCTGACTGCTGCCTCTGCCATCCACTCCCCCTCCCTTTCTCTAATCTTTAAGCAGGCTGAGCTCTGTCCAACCTTAGCCTGCCCCTGGCAGACAGGCTGGGTAGGTAGCTGTTGCCCTGAATCACCGACTACCAAGGCCTGGCACAGCCTGCTCCATACCGTGCTGCCCTTCCCAGGGGCCTCCCTCTGCCCAGGTCCTGAGCTTCCTCCATTTACTAAAAGGAGATGGGCCGTGGGGTTCCTGGGCCTGGTTCCTGTCCACACAGACCCTCTTATCATTTCCCTGAACACTGACCCTGTCCCTCAGCAGCCCGCCCGTGGTCCCTCAGCACCCCGCCCGTGGTCCCTCAGCACCCTGCCCGTGGTCCCTCAGCACCCTGCCCGTGGTCCCTCAGCACCCCGCCCGTGGTCCCTCAGCACCTTGCCCGTGGTCCCTCAGCAGCCCGCCCGTGGTCCCTCAGCAGCCCGCCCGTGGTCCCTCAGCACCCTGCCCGTGGTCCCTCAGCACCCTGCCCGTGGTCCCTCAGCACCCTGCCCGTGGTCCCTCAGCACCCTGCCCCTGCCCTGCCTGTTGCCCGCAAGGTCCCCAGCTTCTCGCTTGTGGGCCCAATCTGTCCTCGCCTGTCAAAGCCAGAAGCTCAAGCTCTGTGACTGCTTGTCCAGGTGCTGAGCCTTAGGCCAGAGTTCTGCCAGGCCCTCCTGCACCCCACAACCTGCAAGGGCTGGGTGGGTGAGTGGTGAGTGGGCTGGGAAGGCAGCTCAAGTGATGGAAAGGGCAGAGGTCTGGGAGCCCTGGTTTCTGGGAGCTAGGGCTGAGGGGACCTGGTTTCTCCTTCTATCCATACCTTCTTATCCCAGGGAGATGGGGTGGGGGGGCCTGGCCCCGGGACAGCTGGCCCCAGGGAAGGACTGCAGCTGTGGCCATACTATTGGAGGTTTTCCCACCGGGAAGGCAGAGTAATCAGGACACCTGAGGCCCATGACCACAAGCTTCCCTGTGGTCCCCTCTTGGCTGAAGACACAGACCTTGTGCCCATGCGGAGGGAGGGGAAACGGGCTCAGAGGGACCTGGGCCGGTCTGTTGTTCACCAGCAGGTGGGGCCGGGGTGGAGGGGGCAGCGGTTCACTGCCCCTCCCGCACTCGTACCCATACTCCCAGTCGGGAAGGGCCCCGCTGCTGAAGCTCAGGGTGCCGGGAAGCCGGCCCTGGGCTGCTGTCCTCCCTGGGGAGAGGCTTTCAGCAGATACTTGGCCGAGGGCTCCAGGCTGAGCGCTAGCAGCGCCGGTGCACAAATGTGGTCAAGGCTGGATGTGAAACCCATATCCGGGGCCCTTCTTGCCAAGGCCTACATGTCCTTCCTGGCCCTGGGCTTTCAGGATGCCATCTTCTCCTGCTGCCTCCTTCTTCTCTGGCTACCTGCCCGCCTCCTCCCTTCCCTACAGACCCAGGTTCCTCTGTCCTCCCCCTAAGTATCAGTGCCTGGGCCAACCCTATCCTGAGCTCCCCACTTGCTGCAAACTGGGAGCCAGGATCCAGTCTGGCCTCAGCCTCGCTTAGTCTGGCTTCTCCACAGGCTTAATGCCATTGTCTATCTGTAAGAATAAGAAGGGGTCACAGAAGAGCTCAGATTCAGGCTTCTCTTGAGGCCTCCAAAGATCTGGCCCTACTGGGCCCCCAGAAACAGTGACAGCTCTCGACCAGCAAGGCCCAGGTCACACCCTCACCAGGCCCCACAGGCTCCTTGGCTTCCGCGCCCCAGGGTGGAGGATCCCCGCATCTGAGCTCCACAATTCTTTGTCCGAGGGTGCTCTCATACTCCCCGGGGCCCTGGAGTGCCAGTCTCCTCGATGCCCCTCAGGGAGTGTGAGCCCTAAATGGAGCCACTGGAATCCCCCTCTCTGCTGCTCGGGACACTGGTGGGGCTTGCGCTACAGCCCCTGACATCGGCTGAGGGCCTGCGGCTGCGCAGGAGGCACACAGACACGGCACCCTGGCCAGGACAGGTATCCGGGCTCATCACTCCACCCGCAGTCGGACAAAGGTGCCCTAACCCATCAGGTATAGCCCCACCAGGGCCTCCAGGCCAGTCTGCTTACATGGCCACCCTTCCAAGGGTCCAAATGCCATTCCCAAGGGGACACCCCACTGACGAGACTGCCCAGCCACACTCTCCCCAGGTGACACACCCCACTGGAGACCTGGAGAGAACGCTGCAGTCCTGCCTGTGTCCAGCCCCAGGGGTGTCCCCTCAGGCCCCTGGCCTCCACCCCCAGGAGGACTGCAGAAGGCTGGGCAGGGCGGGCAGGGGGGGCAGGGGCAGGTGGGAAGGGCGGCTGGGGCCGAGGGTCAGGAAGGCTCTAGTCTAGCTCCTCCCCAGCCTCATTCTGTGTGGCTGGGGGAACAGGGAAGCAGGAAGTGGAGGGAGCAGAGGTTGGCTGACCTCAGCCCAACCGGATCCTGCCGAAGCCCCGCAGGAAGGCCAGGAGGCAGGAAGGAAGCGGCTTTTTCCTGGTGGCTCCTGCGCTGCAGGCTGGGTGGACAAGGGCTTGCAGTCCATCCAGCCCCTGCCATCTCCAGCCAGTACTGGAGCCCGCCTCCCCCCACCTCCTACTCCCGCGGTGCCAGCCAGACCCAGAGGGCCACGGTGCTGGGTGGGCCAGCCTGACCGAACTTGGGGGGGCCGGGGGGGGGGGGGGGGGTGAGACCACACCAAGTGAGTTCATGGGCAGCTGGGGCCGGGCTGGCTGCTCATGAGGTCCCCCGGCACCCCTGGGCCGGCAGCCCCTGCACCCAGGCCCTGTGGAGCAGTCCCGGGGCCACCTGTCATCGAGGGGGGTGCGGACACCCCAGAGCAGCCCGGGCAGCGGGGGTGTGACCATGTGAGCAGGGTGGTGCGCGGGAGGGTCGCCGTCGGGTGTCCCGCTGTCCCTGCACACCTGCCTCGGGAACACGGTGCCTGCTCCTGCGCAGGTGCCGGGAGCCCCGGGGAGCACTGGGCACGGCCGCCGTGACCTTGCATCGCTGCCCCTCGAGGACCCGAGGTGCCCAGGTGCGGGGGGGAGCGACCACCTGGCCGGGCGCCGCGGGAGGCACCGGCGAGGGCGAGTCTGTGTC